CAAAGCTGGAGGCATCATGCTACCTGACTTCAAACTATACTACAAGGCTACAGTAACCAAAACAGCATGGTACTGGTACCAAAACAGAGATATAGAACAATGGAACAGAACAGAGGCCCCAGAAATAACACTACACATCTACAGCCATCTGATCTTTGACAGACCTGACAAAAACAAGAAATGGGGAAAAGATTCCCTATTTAATAAATGGTGCTGGGAAAACTGGCTAGCCATATGTAGAAAGCAGAAACTGGATCCCTTCCTAACACCTTATACGAAAATTAGTTCAGGATGCATTAAAGATTTAAATGTTAGATCTAAAACCATAAAAACGCTGGAAGAAAACCTAGGCAATACCACTCAGGACATAGGCATGGGCAAGGACTTCATGACTAAAACACCAAAAGCAGTGGCAGCAAAAGCCAAATTGACAAACAAGATCTAACTAAACTAAAGAGCTTCTGCACAGGAAAGAAACTACCATCAGAGTGAACAAGCAACCTACAGAATGGGAGAAAATTTTTGCAATCTGCTCATCTGACAAAGGGCTAATATCCAGAATCTATAAAGAACTCAAACAAATTTACAAGAAAAAAAACCAAACAACCCCATCAAAAAGTGGGCAAAGGATATCAACAGACAGTTCTCAAAAGAAGACATTCATACAGCCAACAGACACATGAAAAAATGCTCATCATCACTGGTCATCAGAGAAATGCAAATCAATACCACAATGAGATACCATCTCACACCAGTTAGAATGGCCATCATTAAAAAGTCGGGAAACAACAGATGCTGGAGAGGATGTGGAGAAGTAGAAATGATTTTACCCTCTTGGTGGGAGTATAAATTAGTTCAACCATTATGGAAGACAGTGTGGTGATTCCTCAAGGATCTAGAGCTAGAAACACTATTTGACCCAGTAATCCCAATACTGGGTATATACCCAAAGGATTATAAATCATGCTACTATAAAGACACAGGCACATGTATGTTTATTGTGGCACTATTCACAATAGCAAGGACTTGGAACCAACCCAAATGCCCATCAATGATAGACTGGATTAACAAAATATAGCACATGTACACCATGGAATAGTATGCAGCCATAAAAAATGTGAGTTCATGTCCTTTGCAGGGACATGGACGAAGCTGGAAACCATCATTCTCAGCAAACTATCACAAGGACAGAAAACCAAACACTGCATGTTCTGACTCACAGGTGGGAATTGAACAATGAGAACACCTGGACACAGGGCGGGGAACATCACACACCAGGGCCTGTTGTGGGGTAGAGGGCTGTGGGAGGGATAGCATTAGAAGAAATACCTAAAGTATTTCTAATGATAAGTTGATGGGTGCAGCAAACCAAGATGACACACGTATACCTATGTAACAAACCCGCACGTTGTGCACATGTACCCTAGAACTTAAAGTATAAAAAAATATAAAAAATTTAGATTAAAAAAAAAAGCGGTGCTCGGTACATGTATAGATGATGTTAATAAAATAGACCCTGCCAATTTTCCCCTAATGCTTCCAACAGGAATCTCATCCGTAGATTCCTGACTTGAAGATAATGATGTGACTATTTTGCAAGTTTTATCCTATTTGCTGGTAATTGTACTCTCAGGGTACTTACAAATGTAAATTTTCATATATTTCATTCCCTACCACACCTTTAATTTATAGACTAGTCAGCTGCTTTTTAGGGCATCCCTTACCCTTGTCATTCCCAATATTAAAATAATTTCTTTATCCTTGTTTCCATCCAGTTACACTACCTTGAATGATTTCCACATCTGATCTCAGACCTGTGACTCCCATCCTCAGCCTCAGAGCACTGCTGACCTCAAAAGATTCTAGCTACTCTTCAGTTCTTACTGTCACCCACATCCCACTGTTGCTGCTGAAACCACATCCCAGTCATTCTTTCACCCCACCAGGAAATCACAGTCAGTATGTGGCTTCACCATGACTTTGGACATTCTCTTTCTGTAGAGTTCCACATCCCATATACTTCTTTAGTCCTTCGCAGGCAAGGATTTATTTTGGTAGTGTAATTTTGTCTCCTTTGGTCAAGACATCAAAGTCTCCTCTTCCACTTCTGGAAGTGTATGACTCATAACTGGGTGAACTGGCAGCCACTTTGCCCTGGATGTCTGCCTAAGTACACAGCAGATTCTACCCTTACCAGTCAGCATATATTAACTCACTTGAACCTAGTAAAATCCATTAACTCATGTCCCTACTAATTTTCCTACCCACCCTCCAACACTTGCCTAAATATATTTAGAAAATTAAATTGGCGTAGGTCCTTTTGAGAGGGGGGAGACAAGATAAGCCAACCTAACATTTATAGGATATGTAATTCTACATAAACACAAGGCATTAAACGTAACACCACTAAAACATTTCTTTGAAGCCAATCCCTATATGGCAGTAAAATGCTTTAAAGTTCAAACTAGTAAGATTCCAATATCAATGCGTTTTGATCTTGGTGTATCCTTAAAATGGGTGGAGGGTTTTCTGTGTATATTCCAGACTCCAGCTTCCACTTTTCAGGAGATGAAGGGGAGGATGAAGTAAGGGAAAGAGAAAGGATTTGAGTTCCAGCGACCTGCATACAAATCCTGGCTCCTGTACTCTCTTCTGGGGTGATCTCTGGCCAGTTCTCCAGATCCTTTGAGGTGGGATGTTCGCTCTGTAAAATGGAAGATATATTCTTCAGGGATGCTGGGAGGATTAGGATCAATTAAATGCTGCTTATCATACCTGTCACCTAAGTTGATGCCCAATAAACAGTAATTGCTGTTTTATGTTTTGTTAACCTGGCAGGGTAATTTAGTTTCTAACTTATATATGTCTATTTGAAAGTGCACTGTAACCACTTCAAATTAAAGATGAAAATTGTATGGTATAAGAGTTATACCTCAATAAGGCTCTTACATTTTTTTAATTTAGAAAATTGAATCTATCAAATTCCCTTAGAAAATGTGAAAGTAATTTTTAAACTGAAAAATGTCACGGCCTATTCTGTGGGTGACCAATAAATACTGATTAATGGACTTTATCTGTAATTTTTCATGAGAACGTAAGTCCAAGACCTCCCTTATATAGCCTGCTCTTAATCCAAACACTAATTACTACTTTGGTATCGTAAGATTATTATGATATCCATTCTCTATGCATTGGGAAATAATTTGAAATTCATGAAGAAGTCCATCCTCATGCTTTGATAAATGAGTATAATTCGTTTCAAAATTTCTGTTCATAAGCCAAAACTGGTGTCATCAATCATTGAGTATTCCCATTACAATTAATGTTAAAAAACCTCAGTCTTTCTCTTAATGGAGTAATTAATAGAAGAGAGTGCCTCATTTAATAGTGCTGAAGGTCCCCAAGGCTCTATCCTGGCTGCCTTTCTCTCCTCCATCCACCCACTCTCCCAAGGTGACCTCACGTCTCCAGTCCCAGGGCTTTGGATGCCTTCTGTGTACCATTGACTCCCAGATGTGTCTCCAACCAGAGCATCTCACAGGAACTCATATATCTAACTTGACATCTCCACACGGCTGTCATCTCAAACTTGGGAGTGGCACGGGGATCATGAGTTCAGACCACATTAAATTTAAAAACATTAAGAAGACAAAAGCCACAGATTTCTCCCAGGTTCCACAAAGGTATGTATCATTCACTCAGTTGCTAAAGCCAAAAATCTTTTCTCATCTTACATCAATACCATCAGTAAAACCTATTGCCTTCACCCTGAAAACATCCATAGTCTATGAATTTCTTTCCATCTCTGCTCCTTCCCTGCTGCCTTGCCTGAGGCTAGTTATCTGTTGCCAAAGTCACCCTGCCACCACTCTTGCCCCTGCTACCACTTCTTCACAAGATATCCAGAGCACTCTGAAAAATGCAAATCAGTTTATGTTACTTCCCAGAATAAAATCTTTCAGCGGATTCCCATAGTACTTTGAATAAATCCAAACTCCTTCCAATGGCTCAGTGGTTCACATTCCCGAGGAGTGCTTGGAACTTCATGGGAGAAATTTTTATTGTTGATATGGTTGGAAAGAGGGACTGCAACAGGTATCTAGCAGGCAGAGTCAGGAATGCTAGATATCCCACTATAGTGAGAAGGTCCTTCATTTTGCCTGTCAATTATTATCTGAGCCTGGATCATTATGCAATATTATATATTAAATACAAAGTACTTACACGGAATTTTCCAGGAATGCAATGACTGTGTCAATGTAGAAAAGGATGTGCTTTGTTTTGTTTCAAAATTTGTCTAGAAATGTTTACTATTTCAGAAAATCACCTCACCCTTAGAGGAGCTACTGGCTGTATCTGAGCCACTATTGCAACGTTCCTGCATGTGCACAGTGATTCCACCTAAACAGGCAATCATTTAATGGCTTCTCATTCTTTCTAGTAGAGACATGTCTGAGCATTGATATGTGGCAATACAAAGCACTTTATTCTAAATTTCTTTATGAAATTACTCCTTTAACAATAATTAATGATTGATTGACAATACCAGTCCAGGCTTATGAGCAAAAATTTTGGACTAGTTATACTCATCCATTGAGGGATGAATGTATTTCTATATGAAGCCACAGATTATTTCCCGATGCATAGAGTATGGTTGTCATAACAATCTTAAGACAAAATAAGCAGGAATGAATGCAAGCCACAAGGGAGCAGTCTAAATCTTTGCGCCAGCTATTTATTCCCTCTTCCTACAGTGCTCCTCCTGACAGTTTGCATGGATGGCTCCTTCGTGAGTATCACCCTGAGGCACTCTCCATCCCATCACCTACTTGAATTCTCTTTGGCACTTATCACCTGATAAAGGACCTTTTTTGTCTTACACAACAGTGTGTCCACTGTGCCTTGAACATTTCCTGGAATATAGTAGGGGCCCAGTGCATACTTGTGGAATGAAAGAACAAATAAGGTGAGGCAAAGTAGTGAGCATCCTCTTGGTAATATATAAATAGCATTTCCAATTACATAAGATAGAAAACTGTCAAGTTTTGCCCAGCGAAATAAAGTGTTTACAGTGTTAAAACATTTGAGCCAACCTGTAGCATCTGTGGCACCCAGGCCACCATTTCAGAGGTGGCAAATTAAGGCTAACCGAAGCTGACATTCACAATATATTTGCAAGCTCTTTTATTCCAATTAGTTAAAACATATTTATGGCCACAAATATTGGGTATAAAAGCTTATGTAATATCTTATCAAAACCGGGGATAAAAACCATCCAATCATAGTGGATGGATATGAGGTCAGATGCTTCCCAGCAAACCCTGATTACCAGTTACCACAAAAAGACTTCTCAGCATCAAAAATTGAAGTATAAGCATAGTTCTCAGGCAAGTGGATATTTTCCTCAAGGGAATCTACAAAGAGATGTGTGTAAAGTGTGTTAACCTGCTCCAGCCTCTCCATCTCCAGTCCATCCTTCACACCATCTTTCCAAAATGCCAATTAGATCACTCTACTCTGGTGAAAATCCTTCAGTAAGTTATTGTCCCCCTATATGACATGTGTAATGAGATTTTAAAAATGCCATTTACTTGCAAAATATGTAAGGACGCTTTATAGTCCTCCCATCCTCCTAGCACGACCCCACACATGGTTAAGCTCTAGCCACACCTCCCCCAGTCTGTACTAACAACTGCTTGCTCTTACACAGCCATCTGTCCGAGAGCTTCTCCTGCTGCCTGGAAAATTCTAACTCATCCTTTAAAAAATATTTGAGGCCTCCCTGATGCCTGTCTCAGGCAGTGGTGGGTGCTCTCTGTTGCACATGCACCATTTCAAGCAATAAACACTCCTTGTGTAATTTTCTAATCATATTCTCCCACTCCGCTAGCTGCTGTTTGAATCCAGGACTGTATCTCATTTATCTTAGGATTCCCAGTGCTGCACCAGGGCTCAGAATATGATAAGCACTCAATAAATGCTTATCTGAATGAAAAAGTGGACTCACCTGAAGCTATATAAACTCTTTGTGCAGGAGTAGACAGGCCTTTCAGAAATAGCTATTATAAATACGATTTTTGGAGGGGGCGGAGCAAGATGGCCAAATAGGAACAGCTCCAGTCTCCAACTCCCAGCACGAGCGACACAGAAGACCGGTGATTTCTGCATTTTCAACTGAGGTACTGGATTCATCTCACTGGGGAGTGCCGGACGATCGGTGCTGGTCAGCTGCTGCAGCCCCACCAGCCAGAGCTGAAGCAGGGCGAGGCATTGCCTCACCTGGGAAGCGCAAGGGGAAAGGGAATCCCTTTTCCTAGCCAGGGAAACTGAGACACACAACACCTGAAAAATCAGGTAACTCCCACCCCAATACTGCGCTTTAAGCAAACAGGCACACCAGGAGATCATATCCCACACCTGGCC